CGTTATAATGTTTTATTCGTCGTTGTTATTTATTTTTATTTGTTTCTCTGTTTTATTAAATTATTTATATTACAATATCCTAGCAGGATTTCTTTTTTCTTGTTTTTGTATGAATTCACATAAAGTGCTGCTGCATGCAGCTGCTGCATGCATAGATAAAATTTATATTGCTTAGCTGCTCCATAAAAGAGGATAAAAAGAAATATATTTTTTTTGTTTTTTTTTTGCATGCATTCGGGTGTATCGACACCGAAGTTTCTCCGCCGTGTTTGTTTTCATCTTCTGCTCCTGCATGCAGCTTTCTTACTTAAGCAGAATAGAGGGAATACGTGGGCGTATGAGTGGTATTTATGTAATCTCAATGCAAAAAATTAATTATTTTAATTTATTTTAATGTATTTTCTTTGATTTTTTTTGAATATTTCCCGGGTTTACTCTGAAACTGAATTTGTGCAGCAGAGGATCGACGTGCGTGTATTGGTGTTTTTCTTTGTCAGCGACAAAAACAATGAAAATAAAAAGTAGAAAACGTTGATAAGAATATTTTTTAATCATAAAATTCATGAATTTTGTAATTTGAATTTCTGAAATTTCAAGTGTGTGCAGAAGGTGTTCAGGTTCTTGCGGTGTACGTACACCCGAGTTGTTGCCGTCACCGGATCCATCGACGAGAACCAGAGGGAAAGCAGAATAAAATGTGGAGGGTGGTGTGTTTTTCTGCGGTATTTCTTGGTGATTTGAGTATATTTTAGTTTTAATTTTGTTTATTGCATTTCTTTAGAGCTAAAAAAGACGAATTTCCTCCAGGTTTCCGCGGATCGGTGTGGCTAGTTACCACCGGCTCAGTTCATATTTCAGGTCAAGCCGGCGAACNCCAGGTTTCCGCGGATCGGTGTGGCTAGTTACCACCGGCTCAGTTCATATTTCAGGTCAAGCCGGCGAACTTGTGTGGATATTTCATGGATTTCTCCACCATAATTTGTTCCTTTTAACATTTATATTTCATAAATTTTTCTTTTTCCCCCCATATTTCTCCTTTTTACCCTGGATCAATCACCCCCTTTATGCATAACCCTGGAGCCTTCTCCCGCAGCCGCATCCGCTGCAAGGATATCTATCTCTCCCTATACACCCGGTACGAGGGTCTGTTTTCCTTTTCTTCTTTTTTTCATTTGAACAGAACAATTTGAGTTTTTAGTGGCAATTGAGAGCCGAGATATGCGGCCGATCGATATATAAGGAGCCGCTGTTCCCTACCTACCTATCCAGCATCCAGCATCCGGTGTGTCTTTACAGCTATTATTTTGTGTATTCCTTTTCTGTTAACGAAGATGTGTTCATCTCTCCGATATCTTTATTTCTTTAGTTTTATTCTGCTGCTTCTCCTGGGTCTTCTCCTCCTCCCCGCAGGAGCAACGAGCGTCAAGTCCAGTGCAAGAGGCGGCACTCTAACCACCGCNGAAGAAAGCTCTGTATCTGTGAAGCGGTGCCCCAGCAACATCCCCGTGCATCAGCAGTCTTGTACTTTAGACCTAGATAGCGGTGATGAGGCTGAGTTTATATGCATGTATCCTCAACCCCAACATTTCCCCGAAACAGTATACACCTGGGAGGGTCAAGAATCTCGTGCTGCTGATGTGTTTGGTGGTGAGACAGAGATAATAGAAACAAATACAAAACATGTATACAGAATAAAAATAGATAAAAACGCCAAAACTGCAGCAGCTGGGGTCACCTGCTCACAAACACCAAGAACCCCAGGCACCCCCAACAACAACCAGCCTACTATAGAAGAAGCAACAAAACTACAAATACATTCTCTTGTTATTCGCGTTAATGGGGGCCCCTCATATACTCAAGAGCTCAGCAACACAGCTATGCATGCAACAGCAGGATCGACATCTGCTGCTGTTGTTGTTTTTGTTGCTGCTGCTTTTCTCTCTTCTCTATCTCTTTATATATAAAATATTTATTTATTTATTCTATTTATACTATTTGTATAACATTATATTAAATACAGTACACATACACACATACATACACATACACACACACTAGCTGCGGCCCATCAACTAAATATTTATATATATTTATATTTATATAAATATATATATCTGTATATATCTGTATATATATTCTCTATATATTTATATATTATATATTTGTATCTATATTTTCTAATTCTATCTAAATATATGATAATATATGAAATATATATATATNTATATATATATATATATATATATATATATATATATATATATATATATATATATATATATATATATAAGAACGCATGCATGCAAGCGGTGTGGCTTTTAGGTCGCAACTTTCGTTTTTTTGCCGCTGCCTTTTTAAGGCCGTCTCTTGTTGTCTAGGGTTTAGGGTTTAGGGTTTAGGGTTTAGGGTTTAGGGTTTGGGGTTTAGGGTTTGGG